CGTACTACCTATATGCGCGTGTCCCGGCCGTTGTAATATAAGTCAATACAACACGCGCGACGCTGGCGATCGCGCGGACTTAAGGAACGCCGCGATATTCAGCCGCGAGAATCTCGAGTTACACCTGACGGCGACGACGACGACCAAGTCCCACCACTCTCTAATTCATGCGCGCGAATGCAGGACGAGCGCGGCGCTTAAAGGAGCCGCTCTTGCGCGCGGCCTATGCAGATTTCGATGTTCGCCAGGAAGCTTATGCAAAGTAGCCGATGCAACGTAGCACGTGCTGCGTCTCCGGAAAACATTGCGCGCGATACGGAGTATATGCTATCGAGTTACCTCGCGGCGCGATTTTTCATTCGATCTGTTTGCGCGGTCGTGCATTCGGCGACGAACGGCGATCGTCAACTAGACATGTAGTGATCAGGAAGAAATAACGATTCAATAAATGATTTTTAAACTTTAGTTACACATTAACATATACCAATATTCAATTAATGTTTTCGTAGCGTGAAACAACAATTGCTATGGTGGACCGTAAATAGAATCTGCGTGCGAAGTGCATAGATATTTTTAGAGTTGTTGTCATCTCGCATCGATCATTCAGGAAAGTCGCGCTGAAGACAGTTTCGTATTCTCGTACGATCGGCTTTATTGAATAGCTTGAATAGGCGTTCTCCGTTTTACGGCCGAGGCCTTGAAAATCGCCAACTCGTCGAATTCCTGCCGTTAAAAAGTATTTGCACGACGATAAACACCGAGAGACCGCAAGTGCATTATAGCTAGTCGCAGCTGCGAGCCTATTTTCGACGCTGATTTCTCGCGTGATCGATCGTATAAGCTACATTCTTACCGTATCGGGTAATATAATTTACGTTTTTGATAAATAATGCATTAAAGTTTAGTCATCGTAAATTCATTGTTAGACATTTCGCTCTATTTCTCTTCGATTAATAACGTTTCCTCAGAAATATCTCAAGAAAAAATTAAGTAGTTCCCGAGATGCTTAAAATAGGTCGAATCAGGTCCATGGAGAGAGAACTATTAACATATGTGATATGTGTATATTTCCGTGCACAAAAAAAGACCGCTAGATAAAAGACTACGACAGAATGACATTAAGAGCCAATGGGTGCCGGGACTTTCTCTTCGACAGTCAGGTTGCTCGTGCTCGTGTAACCTGACTCGGGCGACAGGCCATCTCGAACGCCCACTTGATCGCACCTATTCGCACGATTCGCTCGATCTGAAGCCTACATACATCGATACTCCCGAATCGCGGCCGCGAGAATCCCCGACGAGACGCCAGTCAGCGACTGCGTATCCTGCGGGACCGGTTCGCCCCTGCATTCCCGTTCACGTGCATGCGTCACATATCGGTGGTCGTAGTTCCCCTCACGAATGCAAAAAAAAAAGTGGAGTGTGGGCGAGAGCTTGAGACTTGAGACCTCGTCAGGTACAGCCCACGTTGTCCGTCGTTGAAGTAGCGCGAGCCTCTGTCCGTCGCGCGTCAAAGTCATGTATATAAACCGCGTACCGAGTTTCACTCTCTGAATTTTGTGATAATGACGATGCATTATGTTAATCCGAGAAAGAGAGAATATCACTGGGAATATAAGTAAACTTTATTTAAATTAGTGGTTAAGTTAAGTAACAAATTCTAAAATTACAATTCAACTTGATGATGATAATCGTATTATACGATCGAGTGTGCAGATGAAGATGCAGATAAAGTCTCTTAAAACGTTTTAAGCACTTGTATGCGTGTGTTTAATCTGCAATGTTTAAAAAAATTGTTCGTGCCAGATGCTACGTTGTCTTTGATATCTTTCCCCTAGCAATTACGGCACCCTTTTTGTTCTTGCACAATGTATTATAGAGAAACGAGTTTCGTGGTCATTTCTTCGCGTGCGGTCATTATTTACCGCATCTCTAATTATCAGTCTTCAGTCTTACTTGACCGCAAACTCATCCAATTTAACGTTTGTATTATCTCGGCTAAGTCTCGCGAAAGAGAACCCGCTTCGTTATTAATTACGATGACACGCGCGTTACGATAATTATGGCAGGAGCAGCTTCCTTTTATCTTCACTTCCTCGAAGGAATCTGTCAATCTGAAAATTATACAGCCGTTTAGAAATTCCGCATAGCTCATAGTTGTTATCGATATTGTGGCATGCGACTTCGACGGGGCACGTCAAGCATATACGCTTATGAATCGCTTACATAAGCGGCATAATCGGCTCCTCTCTTTCCACATGTGAGTATGTGTGGCGCTTACCTACGCACGCTGCACCAATCATGCAACCCAGAAGCCGATGTATGCCAAGGTTGCTCCATAGGCAACGGTATTTCCATGTGGCTTCGAGATGGGCCTATATATGTACGACGCGGAATCTGTCTCGAGATTTCCACTGATAATGAATAATTGCAACAGCCGTGTAACTTGGAAGATCTTATTATTCGAACGTTAAACTGTGATATGGCGTAAACGTCGTTTAAATTATGATCGATCGTCAAAGCTCATTCAAGTGCGGCCATAGGTCGAGTCCTAATAACACTAATTGCGCGCGATACGGGATGCTGTAATCATTGTCGATTGAATTCCCCCGGCGCAGATTAGAGTGATTAGACGACGAACAATGGCCGAAGTTATCGGTTATCGTTTATTGAGCGCGTCTCGACGTTAATGGGCTTTAAATTAGCAGCGTTACCGAAACTGGGTCACTGGATCAGAGTTAAATCGTGCGAGCAGATTATCCATTCGAAGACTCTTTTGAAGACGATTGCTTCGTCATCGTTCTATGATTCGAAGAATATATTGCGCGCACATTCGAATAGCGCAATCTCTTTTTTTTTATGAAATTTGATTAATTATTCACATATTTAATGCATATGTATTCAATTCATATATTTCATATATTAATTCCCGTATAGTGTTACGATATCTCAGAATAATCTTAACGCGAAGTATGTAAATGTGACCTCGCCGTATCGCGTAGGTGTGTTGACGAGATAATTTCCGTCGAGTAGAAGAAAGCTTTTACCTTTTTCTCTGTCGAGCTAATATTCCGGAGTCGTCTGACGGTGCTAGACGATAAAAGCCACATCATTCGTCACTATTTGTCACAAGGTAAACATAGCAATATCCGAAAAGCTTTTAGCATTCGAACTATTTGTTAGCCAGAAATGACGCGTGGGGAGGGATTTAACTTATCGAAAACTAATCTCCGATACACTGTTAAATTCGTAGTGTCAAATTATGCTCAATTTGAATCGTTTTGAATCGTTTTGAATATGTCATTAATTTAACTAAACCAATGAAATTAAAATAATCCTGTTTTGTGTTAAAATATGTGTTAAAACCAATACCTTGAATTAATAACAAAATGTTATTTAATTCAAGGTATTGGTTTAAATTTTATCCTTTAATATTTAACTCAGTTTTTAGATCGGCAAAAATTAAATTCGCAAAAACGAAGAAATATCGAACGATGAAGGAAAATATCAGAAGGAAAATAAAAAAAAAAACACCACCATAGGAATACGTTGGGTATTCTCCGCGAGTGAAATTAATTACCTAACTGATAGGTCAGGGTAATACCGATGCTCCCTTGGGCTCCGTGGCCGACACACCCTCCGGAGATAATTACACGATCGATTGTCTTACACCGTCCCATTTTCATATTGCGTCTGGGCGCGCTGGTCACATACATCGCGCTTTTTTATTTCCGTCTTTCCGGGCGTTACGGCTGGGCCGGCACGCGGACAATAAATTATCATGCGGATAATAAAACAGTCCTCGGAATACCTGGTTCTAATTATTCTAACATCGGGGCTACCGCCGAATTTGTGGGAGAGGCGCTCGCTTAAAAAAGGCGTCTTCCGTTCAATAACGGTAATGGCCAATTTGGCACACGAAGCGGCGATCGTTAACGTAATTGAAGGTGTCGGGCGGCACCTTCGTTACTTCGTCGCAGTTTTTTTTTCTCTCGCGTCGGCCGACACTTAATCGCACTATTTTATTGACGCCCAGGCCGCACTGTCGTTAAGATTAATTATGCGTAGTAAAAGTTGCATTAATAAAGCCATTTTCGCGAAGGAGATCTCTTTGAGTAATTAGGACGCGTTGCAATGCTTTCCCCCGGAAATGACTAGAGTAATTATAATGCCTGCGATTTTATAGCTACCATTCACGATTAATTTCTTATCGATATTTTATCGCTGTTTGAAAATGCGTTACGACTCGTTTGAAACAACGCCGTCATTCCAATTAATTAGATTACAGATCTTACGAAAAGATTACACGACAAAAAAAATTAATTCTCATTCTGGCGATCGAATAGCATACAGTTGATATAGGTAATGGAAAGAAAAAAGGACGGATGAGAAAGAAGGCTTAAAAAGGATCGATGTAACGAGCAAATCGGAAGAAGCCTATTAGCGATATGAGATTGCGGGTTAGGAATAAATCAGATTGTAGTGCTCTCTCCATGAGAAAAGATAGAAAATTATACGAGAGGCAAATATGCTACGATCGTGCGCGCGTTTGATGACTCTTCTTGAGGATAGTATTGCCTAGTTCAGAACGCGTAATTGGCAGTTCTTGACGTCTCAATAGTCTCTGGCAGCTGTACCTGAGATTTTGACAGCGAAAGCTGTTTCATCGAACACGATTCATCGTCCATCCATTAGCCGGACTTTGCCGCCAGATCTTAGGCCATTGATCGAAATAGTCCACGCTGACTACTGACCTTAAATCTCGCGGATGCACTGCACGTGCATCCGTTATCGAGTGCCGTTTAAATCGATACAAGTGATAATATCGATGAAATCAATCGTGGACGTGATTGCCTCTACAAGACAATTCGCAATTGCGAATTGTGATGTCGAAACAAACAAACTTATATCGGAGCGTAAATCGAAGCTGTTATAAGCGCGCGTTGCTTGCGCGTTGGTATTCGATTTCGCTGATAGCGTGTTATTTATTTTTCTTTCAGGGCGGTCGTGGGCGCACCGGAGGCTGAAACTGCACAGGCCGGCGTCTACCGAGGAGGCGCAGTCTATAAATGCGATATCGCGGCTGATGATAGATGCAACATAATCCATTTCGACGATAAAGGTAACGAAATCATCAACGTTGATTATCTTAATTTTGACAGATGACGCGCTAATGGGGCTTCAGCTATGGTTCCTAGAGGTCTAATTTTAGGCGTTGATTAACTACGGAACCTCTCGTTCAAACATCAAAAAACTTAATTACGTAATGTACACCGCTAACTTTTGCGCGTAAAAACGTCGATTATATTTCATGAAGACAGTGTCAAATAATGTTGCAATATTTATAGCAATTAATAACGTTTTCTAAAAATATAAAAGATAAAGTTTTTCTTCTTGTCTTGAAATCTTTCGGCTCAAGCGCACTTTTGCGTCTTCGCCATTAAATGTTAAAGCAGTAATTCGCAGTGACTCGCGCATGACATGCTTTTATCGGTGATTGACAGGTAGTTTCTTTGATTGAAAATAGTACAAAGTTAGCGTGCGCTCGTATAAATATCGGTCGAGGTGAAAGTAAATTTAGGACGGCAAGCTCTGTCGCTCTGTCCACATTAATCCGGGACTAATTTAGATTGCCGCGTCAACCGCGCCGGCGTTGAAACATTAATACGTTTGCGAAGCGATGTAACGACCTCGCGAGATTCCGCATGCTCGATCGTGTGTGACATAATTGGCGATTCATTGAGTAAGTAATTGAGCGTCGTGAATTCGAAACCACGGCCGACCGGGGGCTCTTTGGTGTCGCCGGCTGAAGCTCGCTGATGTTCTTCGGAGAAGAATCGATTGGCGAGCGATCGCCGCGGTCTGGAACGCTTGATCGTGATTCACGATCGAGAATCGGCGCGACAGGACCGGTTTTGGAATTCACTCGGGAGAGACTGACGGAGACAATCGAATGATGCGCGCGAGATAATACTCCGGACAGATGCTAATTGCGGATGAGTGCCACTATACCGCGATTAACTGCGCCTAGATTAGATAATTAGCTGTTTACCATATTAACTTTTCGGACTTTATTCGAACGTGCAAAAGTAAAAGTAGACAATGTAGATTTTATTATCCTATTGCAATGAGTCTACTATTATTGAATACTTGCAAAACTTAATAGAGCTGAGGCTCAACATAGGAATGGTTTTATTTCTATTTGTTGCAAACTTAAAAGTTATAAATCCTTATTTTAATAATCCCATTAATATATGAATTGAAATAGATACGGTTCGTTGTACCTTTAAGATTAATTTAATATTTTTTAAACGGTACTTACTGCCACCTTAGATTTATTTGAGGGCGTTGAAAGATACAAATAAGAGGTTTCCGCCTCAGGTTTGGCCAGGCTGTCCTGCGAGGCAGTTGACCCACATTCTACCTTCCCTCCGACGTTCGTGCGCCAGCGTAGCTTCGTAATCTCAAGAAGTAACCGGCGAACTGGTTACAGTACGCGCTATTCTTAGTGCCAATACACCCACCCTGTCGTTGACCCTACCATATTTCGATGCTTGGCAATTGCCGCACGTGACGTCGCTCACTGACCACGCATGATATATCATGCTTAGAATTTACGTCGCAATTTATGTATATACGTATAAGAAGAATTCTAAGTCATATTCAAGACATAAAGTGCTCTCATTTATTAAGAATCTATATCTAACGTTATCATCGACGATCAACAATCGTATCGAATCGGACAATAATCTTGTAATTAAGTGAACTAGATCCTTAGAAAATATCTCAATATTGCTTCAGGACAAGAAATATCTTACATTAAACTTTTTGATTAATGACTAACGGGTAGCTGTTGAAGATGATCGTAAAGTCGGTTTATATGGGTCTATCTATATGTCTTGATTTTTATCACAAATGATCTTAACAGAAGTTTCTCTAAGTGATCTGATTAGTTAAGCTCGAACTTAACGTAAGGCTATTTAAACATCGCCTGGAAAATATCCCCAACGAATCGGATTACCGTCGTAAATTTGCGTGCTCTAACTGAGAGAACTTCGGCCGCGCTCTCCGCTTCATAAATCCGCGAGGAAACGTTGCGTAGCGAGGTCTCCAGCGGGACGGTAACGTACGCGCGAACCAATTAAAGCGGCCGCGTTTAGAGCACATCGCCGGCTCATAAAGTTCCCTGCTAAGCGGGCGGAGGGGGGGGGTTAAAAATATTATTCGCGTCATGCTCTCGCGCACGATGTGTAGTCTTTCGCGCCGCTCGTAAACACGCGCGCGAGTCGAACGCGCTAATGCAAATTAGCGGAAATAAACTCGCGGCGTGAATTAGACGCGGTTTACACACCTCGTAATACCGTCGTATCTCGACTGGTAGCGATCGGCGGCGCGATACGGCACGATCTCGATATTCGCGCGCTTGTAATGTTATAACGCGACGCCAGCTGTATATATGCGTATACGCGCGAAAAGAAAAGCGAGATTGCCGGGCGCGAGCGCACGATCGGCCAGGAAATTACGCGATCGGGCGCGGCGACCGCCTGATTTTACGTTGTATTATCCGGCAAATGGAGCGCGAACGGGATCAATCGGCAATGAGGGATCGCGGTGTGAAAGGAGCGATCGAAACGCGCGCGGCAATACAATTCTTCCTTTTTAGTGCGTTCGCGCATGATCGAGAAGATAGAAACGCGCGGATAGTTGAGCCGTGATGGCTCGTGGCTATATTCCGTGAGAAAAAATATGCTGTTCGCAATATGTGCATTCTCTTGGGATCTTAGATGAGGTCTTGATTTCTTGGACGAAATCATTTCTTCGCACATGGAGCTTTCTCTAATATTCGATATTCAATAATTTGAAATTATACAAAGAAATATGTACTCGATTCAGCATCTGAATTTTTCATATATTTTGTATCATCACGATGCACGATGCGGTTAATTACGAGAAAAAGAGTTTGCGAGCAAATTAAATTAAATTAAATTAAACGAGCGAAACAAGACGATTAATAGTTAAAGATCACACAGACCGAAATGACGACGGGGCGGAACAGCTGAGCTAATAAAACCTAAACAAAACCGAGCCACCCGCGCATGAAATTCCCGCGAACCTGTTTTCTTGAAGAAATCTATTTCTGTTCCCATTCTCGATTTCATCGATTTGCGTTCGCACGAGGATCGTATCCGCGCGCAGTAAGAAGCGGGACTAAAGCCTTCCTCTGGTCTTTCGCTCTGGTCTTTTGTTTTCTCTCCGCCTCCGTTCTTCTCGGCCGCGTGGAAACGTTCTTCGCCCGGCTGTGCATACAAGAAGATCTCGAGTTGTACATACGTCCAATTAGTCGATTTCCTCCTCTTCCATCGCCGGCGCTATACCATCACGCCTGCGAGCGAGCACATTTCACTTTGATTATCAATTAGGCCGATCGCACGCTCTATCTTTCCATGATCTTGTTCAATTAGGATCGTAACCGGTAGCAATGTGTCGTCGATTATTGCACGCGCGATGAAGAAAACATCTCCGATCGTTTCTCACCCTTTGCATATTGCGTGGAGCCTCGTCACGCAAGACTGCATTTTCCGCGCGATCATTGCTCGCGATATTGTCGAAAGGCTGCTTTACGATGCGCGTTGGATTCGAATCGCAATAATTGATGATCTTGCGCGAATAGCTTTAATTTACATTGTAGATATCAGAGCTGCAATGAAAGTTGCTTACACATACATGTTTATATTTAACGATGTACTAATAGTTACTTAACATTGATAAATTAATATAATTTTAGCCGTGTTTTAGCCTTTCTTTAGACGAGTCGCTTTTTTCGGATTACACACGCGGATTACACGAGCGTTTTTAAACTGCCGCTGTATAAATAATGACGTTTCAATATCGGGATCGAGGAAAAGGATTACGTAAAATCACGATTTGCTTTTCCGAGAACGCCGCTTTGCGGATTCGTATTTCTTTCGACGTTTACACTGTCGCGGTTTAAAATAGTGGTGGGTTAACCAGCGTCCGGATTTACAGTATGCCGTGGAAACTTGCGAAAGGAGTCGCTCTCGAAAATAGCCGCTGCCTGGTTTCGCGATGGTGTCTCGACGACAACAACATTATTATTACTTCGACGAAGAACTTGCCATAATCGGTAATTTATACAGAACGTCTAATTTTAGTCGCGGTTTCTTCGAGAAAACCGCAGTCGTTCCTTCATACATCGTTGAAACGTTTTCTCCAACGAGAAGAGAAATGCAGCTACTCTCGAATTTACATTTTTATTCTTCTTTTCCTCCAGTTTCTTTATCTCAGTTTTGTAATTATTATGTTTTATCAGTTAGCTGATGTATATCATTTACTCTTTATGTAAATATAAACATTTGTTAAATTCAGTAACATAGGGAAGAATGATAATCAAGATTAGATGAGAAGGTAGTTTCCTTGTAATCCGTGCAGAACTACACTCGATCTCTCGCCTTCGATCCTTATTTGCGATGTATCTCGCTACTCCACCTGCGGCACGTCCAAGTGCCAAACGATCCTCTCGATCGTGTATCGCTGATTCTGCCTGCGTACGAGGAAGAGATCTCGTCCAGGTCTCCGAGGTCACTCACTCTACGGCCATTCGAGCGAATATACGTCGTCTCGAGGAACTCCTCTCGCCTTACGCTCTGCCGAGTATCGAAGTGCCACAGCCCACAGCGGACTGTCCGGAGATACTGAGAACCGTCCCCCGGCAAGAAGCCGACGATGCCTAATACAGAAAACCGTAAGACCGTTCTGCCCTAGCCCTACCTCTGCCAAGGTACGGTGTTTCTTGCCGCGTACTGCTCAAGGACTAATTTCCGAAGGTCGAAAATACTTCACAGTTGCACGAATGCACTCGCGATTGTCCGATCATCGCGGATACCGATGAGAAATGAAAAGGCACAGATCAATGAGGCGGTGATCAAATTATCACACGAAGTGTATTCTGATTTATAATTAATTTTAATCGTAAGAAAGTCAGTTTATTTGTAACTGAATTGTAATTGATATACGAAACAAAGTTTTGTTAAGCACAGAGCGTGTTGTTACGAAGATAGTAGTTGTCGAGGGCGAAATTAATTCTGACAATCGAGACTGTAATCATTGTCTGCTAGTTTCCCAGTCTTGACGATCCGGTAAACCCGGGTAAGCATTGGGAAGCGAAGGATAACTTCCCTTTAAGAACTAAAGCTGATCGATACGGGCTAACGGGTTCGCTAAATCGACAAGAAAAATACAGAACGCTCTTAAGGCAGCTCCACTATGACACCTGTCCGCGACTCTTTTCTCGAGATCATCGAACGATAATTGCAAGGTCGACCTTACGTGGCGTGACGTTGTTGAATCATTTTCATTAAATAATAGTCAAATTATTTATCAAGATTATATCTCTATTACGTATTCAGGATAGAACATCTTTCTCTCTTATTTGTATTGTTTGTAAATTGCAAGAATGTTTTTTTTATGAATATTACAGAAAGAGTTGGCAAAGAATCTTTCTCGTTTTCGATGTGTGATTTGACACACTCGTGTTCTCCTCGTTCGAACAAATCAAATTTCTTTATCGGATGAATGTATCTTTGTAATCCGTTTTCGACGATGATGAAGGATAATAAGGGAACCTCGAGAAAGAAACGCAATTCACGAATCGATCATTTTGTATACTCCTTGTCTGCCCGATACCGCGTGGCTGGTTTATTCTTCAGCAAATTACCTTCCACAAATGGTACCTTTGATATGATGAATATCACGAAGGTTGAGTTCGACCGAGATTAACCCTATAGCGAGATTACCAGGTGCAGACGTCAGTAAGACTCGTCCTTGCCGCTTCATACCATTCGGTTTTACCGTGTTCGCTTCATCTTATTCAGCGACATATTAGGTTACTTCCAGTTAAGTGACTGCCTGACAGGATAACTAGATACTAATTCCTACTACCGATACGACGTCTGAGTAACCGCTCGGAGTAATCCGAATGGATCTGAAAAAATTATTTTTTCTTACTCTTCACAAAAGCACATCCTTTTCTTAACAGATATGACAAATTTACAAATAAATGTATTTCTGAACTCTTTAACATTTTAAATAAACATGAAACTTATTTATTTTTTAAAAATCGATTCTTATAAAATTTAAATTATTTCTCTAATTACTTTTTCATTAATTGTAAATGCATTAATCCACTGGTGAATTGATTATATCTTGTATTTAAATTTTTATGATACGTATAGCGATTGCTTTTTATAACTTAATGTCTAAGTCATGTAAATTATCAATAATATATTAAAAACATTTATTTATTACAGGACACAATCACGTCAGAAATCCAAATATCGCTGGCGGTTTGAGCCAGATCGACAACAAGACCCTGCAGTGGTTCGGCGCCACGGTCTCAGCTTCTAGCAAGGACGGAGGCCCGATTCTGGTAAGTCCGACCTCCGATATCGAAATGCACGACTTGCATTTTAACCGTCAGACGTCAGCGCGTTAACGGTGTAATAATTCTTCGGTATGGTAACGCGCGCGCGACTGCTTAAGGCGTAGCAACGGTAATTAATTACGCGCGTGGCCAAATGCAACGTTGGATTTTTGATTAATGAGACGAGTTGTATTCAATTGATATTCAATTGACATAAGCCTCAATTAGAAGCATTAAAGTATATGACGATTTAAAATATCTGACTGATCTGAGATGGGAAATTTGTGATAAAATAATAATAATTAATGATAAAAAGATTATACTCATTTTTGTTGCAAGAGTTCATAATTACAGTGGATGTTAACTCTTTAATTGCGCATACATTGTGTTTATAATTCTTAGAAATCCCAAGGCGTTATACGAAAGCTGTTTAACGAAATAAACGATACACTCCAATGAAAACAGACGATGGAGACCTAGTTGAGATACTCTCTCAGTGGAGAGAGAATTCTTGCTTTTTTAGAGGATTAAATTTCTTTTTTAAAACGAATATAAGTAAGAATAATTAGGAAAATAGAAACGTGAGCAACGAAGAGATCGTTAATTGCAATATCTTCTTTAAATTTTCAATATCTTCACTCGTGGGATTTATAACTAGAGGTCTCGGATAGATCTCCTGAGAGATTACAGACGTGCGTTCCCAGAAGGCCGCAGCTTCTATTTCAGGGTTCGAAAACAAACGAATTCCCGGCGCGCGTTCCACGTTTCGTTTGTGATGTTGAGACGTCTCGCGAGCGGGTCGAATTAGCACGGAATTCAGAAGTCAAGTTATTTACTTTTGATGAAGCAATCATGTTACGCGGTAATGAGAATCAAGAAATATTTGTTGCAACGTTAGAAAAACGTTTATTCATATTTAGCGTGATATGTAGCTACTAGATTGGGAATTAATTCATAAAGTTTATTCATTAATTTCTATTTTTCATCTATATAGATAGTGAAAAATATAATCTAGGTATCTCAAAACAGATGGAATAGAACTTATTTTCTCGATTACACAACAGTATGTATGAAGTAGTTAATTTTCAAGTTACACCGGTTTACTTCTCCGAAACATGAAATTATGGTCCCTTCGGTCTCGTGAAGCTGTCTTCGGCGGCGTTCTCTCGTTATCTGATCAACACTCGCCGTCCGCGATACGTGTTAAAGTCATTATCCGCCCGCTCGCAGCTTCCACGCAGATTTTCGATTCAGAGTGCGTGGCGGAGCCCCGTTACGACGAGCCGGCACGTTCGCAATGTAACGCCGGCATGCCCGTCGCCCTCGTCTTGCGGGATGCGCTTCTTGCGACGGGTATGTTGCCTGCGCAAGCGAAAGGTCGGACACCAATCTAGCGCGAAGATCTCTGCCCTTCCCGGGAGACCTAAGCCCCCCTTTTTTTCCCTTCTCCCCCTTCAAACCGTGCGGCGGCCCTTATGATGTACGAGCCGCCCTTATCTATCTTTATATGTACTGCTCTACGTTGCACGCATGTGCGTATGCTCATCACGCGCGGCTGCGGTGGCCCCTGTGATGGCGGATGCGAAGTTTGAACGCGGGAGAAAGATTGAAGCGGGGAGAAAGGGTAGTCAGGAAGCGGCGCTTGCAAATCTGCAGGCGGTCGGAGTGTATCAAAGTTTTCGGCATGCACAGTGAACTGACGAATAATTAATTTCGCTATATTACTTCTACTGTCATCTAGTTAAACGTTACATTTATTTTTATTATTTTTTCCTTTTATTGTCTTTAAACTTTCCAACCTAAAATATCCAATAAGTATTATTCTATTTATATTTCCTATAAGTTTATTCTATTTTACAATACGTTGCATCAGAGGTCTTTCACGAAAATGGAAGCAATAATTAAGATTACGAGGTTTCGAATCGGATCGCAAAGTATCATTCGACCGCTCGTCGTTTCTCGAGTCGTTCATAACGCTGTAATAATCCCGAGTGATTGCTCGGTTAAAAATGATACGTGGATGACTAGGTGGATTTCGAGGAAATTCGATACGGTCGGTCAGAACGAGTCGGGGGCCCTCGTGACGGGCGATGGGTGCGCGAGCGAGGAAGAAAGTCATAAATAAGGCTACATTCGTATGTGAAAGGCGTATTAGCGACGATTATCGTGCTCGCGTAATTTTCACATAGCGAGACGTCGCCGCACGCTATCCCGTCAACGACATTCCCATCCTTGCCTGACGCGTCGACATTATGCCGGAATTATCTACTTATTCCAGAATGCGAGACCGCGCGTTCCCTGGTAAACGTACGGCTTTTTCCGCGATTACTCTTCCTCGCTTTCTCCATATCGCTTTTGTGGCCTCTCCTCCTCCTCTCGCCCTGCTCCCCGCCCTGCAATTAAAGATAAGTAATTACTGCTGACAGATAAACGCGAAGAAACGTGCCTCGCTTCTTCGTTCTAAATACTCTCCTCTTTCACATTTTCGTAGAACTTCGTTCTTTCATGTCTCTTCATTATTGTCCACTATACTATTGGATAATTAATATTAAAAATTATGTACAAGATATGTGTATGGAAAATAGCGCGTTATATTGTTAAGATGGAGGGGATTAAAAATAATTCACTAATCTATTGGTGTAGTTGGGAAAAAGCGGACAACATGTCGATGGCATGCGATCACTTTGTTCCTAGACTTCTAATAGGTTCCTCAAAATAAAAAAAAAAGAGATTCATAAAAATCCGGTAAAACTCGATTTATGAGTGATTAGTCTCTTCGAGAAAAAGATACAGCCGGTGGAAGTTGCCGAGTGTCTTCTCTTATAATATGACCGGAGGTGCGCGCGTGAGATGCATGTACGACCATGCAGAAACTTTAATGCGTCTGTCTATGGCGCTAAAACAATGTGTCGACGCGGCTACCTTATTCCCGTCACGCGTGGTTGACGTCTATCAGCGAGTTCGATGTCTTTCGAAAATCCATATGCGAACGTGAGCACTCAAACTCGTGTCTCGCTTGATCCGAATGTGAACTCATCCCTTCAATGAAGGTGATTAAAACGCGATAAATCCATCAATCAATGTAATAAAGCAAATTGATGTCATTCTACAAAACAAATAAAGCTTCTCTTGTGTGATTTCTATCTTGACGTATATAATCTGTTTATATATAGAATCATAGAATTATAATTTATCGAGATATTCGAGTATTTATGTATGTGATCAAAATTATAACAAGACAATATTTTTACAAGTTGAATAATTGAACATAGAATTTTTCAGTCAAATAATTGAATATAAAGATAATTATATTTTAACAGAATCCAATTGATTTTCTTTCAACACTGTTATGCGATATGTAACTTTTGTCCAATACGAATAATTCGTACGTATTAAATCAACTGACGTTTAACATGGCTGGATAAATATTGTCCTATATGTAAATGTCATGTAGATACACACGCGCAATCGGATAAATGTCTTCTCTCGCTTCTGCTTACGTTCTTTTTATCGCCACCGCGAACAAAGGTCGAGCCCGTGAGTATCCGTGGGCGGTTGTCATCTTATCGAATAGAAACTCGTTAATGCTCTTTGTCGATTGCCATTGACGGATAATGACTCGTCTTCGATCTCTAGCGGTGAATTTCACGCGCTCAACTTGTCGATCACCTCGCGATCGTCACGCTACTAATTGCCCTCGAGACAAAAGATCGCACGCAGAAGCCGCATACGAAAGGTGGACGAGGGTTCCGTGAATGCTGGAAAGTATTAGAAGCTTTATATGCATCGATATTGTATCTCCTACAAGGTCATGGTCTAGGGGTCTAGGGGTCTAGGTCGTCTAGGTCTCGCAAAAACTAAATGGATTTTTTTTATTTCTCTTTCTTAAAATTCAGTCAAACATAGATAAGGATTAAATAAATTTAATTTTTATAGATTTAGAATACTGTCATATTTTATTCCGACAAACATGATTTAGGGCTCTTGTAACAAACCGACGCCTTGGCATTATGCGATGCCTCGTGCGTCGTTGCGATTTAACGAGCTGGTGGTTACGAGGGCGGTACCAAAAGGTCGCTCTTCCTGGTTGCCCTTTCGCTCCTCTACGTACAACGTGTGTCGGAGTAATTCCGCAGATCGCGCGGAATGTTAGGTCCACTTCATAGTCTTCACATCATCACGCGAGTCGGCAAATGCGAGGTCCGCGTCGGGATAGAGACCAGGACCACTCGGCGGGACCTTTCACCGCTGGACGCATTCCTCCCTTTCGCGCATCCTCCGGCGGACGCATCATCCACGCGTTCGTCCTTTTTTACCGCGATCCAATTCAACGGCACTTCTTAATCTATTTTTTTTTGTCGCACCCCCCCTCTCTCTCTCTCGCGATCTACCGACATTTCAAAGATGCAGCTCTTGCGTTGATTGTTGCCAGATGTTTCTTCTTTCGACCCTTTCTTCGGCGCACTCTCTTTCGCTCTTGCCAAATAAAGCGAAGGTACAGTTCGATACATTGTTGCGATACATTTGATGCGAGATTTGACGATGTACTTTCTGTCGAATGATTATTCCTTATTGCTATTATGATTTTACTGATTCAATATCGTGAAAGGCTAAAATCAATCGAGTAAATATAATGATTCTCCCATTACAGACATTATTATTTGATAACTTTCTTATTGAAGAAAATAATCATTTTTTTCCAAAAACCAATTTTAAATCTGAAACAAATTTCACGTAGAAGTAATAATTTATAAAATCAATTCTGCATAGCCATTCAATTTTAATCCAATTCGAAATTGCCGTATCGTAAATTTCGTTGCACTAACATGACGTTTGATTTTGATTAAATCTGCAAGGAGAAGATTCGGCGGATGCGGTGAGCGATGCAGAAAAAGGACCGGAGCCGAAGAACTCTTTAGAGGCAAAAAAGCGTCCCGCCGGGTGAAGAGGGGCAGAAACGAAGGAACAATCGGCAACAATAAAATATAGTCGAGGCAGGACGATAA